AATGCAGCTGCAACTCATCCGGAATGTTGGCCTCGAGCTTCCCAATGTTCACCGAGCTGATGCGAGCGCCATCTTGTGACTCTAATACCACCATCACCCTTCTCACATGAGACGACGACAAAGTCCACGGGGTAAGGTCCCACAATACACCGCCTTCTTCACTTGGGCCCTCATGATTTTCGCTGCCAGTGGCAGCAGTTTTGCTCTGTCGCCTCCACTTTGATGATGGAATGGAGTGCTGGGCCACATGGCTCCGGAGAAATTCGGGCGAAACATGACTGCAGGCGGTCCTCTCATTGAGCGCAGATCGGAACTCCTCGGCTGATCTTATGGAGGCAGTGCCATGGAAGCTGCCGGATTCAAAGACACGCTGGATTACCTCCTCGATCTCTGGCGACAAATTGCCGCCAGATACTCGCGACTGGTTCTGTACCTTCGAGGCCCAGTCGCTGAGCGCAATCAGCATGCCATTGTGATCTGCAATGGCAGGCCGCCCTTCCGCGAGCCACATTTGGGTAGCCACGAGCAGCTTTACAAACTCGGGAGGAACCTCTGGAAGAACATGACTCTGGAAAACTTGCAAAGCAATCACCGCAGCAGCATACACATCAGAAAACAAGCTCAAAGAACGTGTCGAAAGACTTTCAATCATAGCAGCCTGATGGTCCTTAGTCCTCAGTCTTTCATCGTGCTCATCCTCTCCACCTGGCCCCGCAGGTTTTGACACCAAGGCCACTTCGCGTGCTGCTCCACAAACTTCCACCAGCGGAAACAACGGACCAGCATCCCCAATTCCAGCACTGATGCTTGAAACCACCTTGCCGTTCACGTAAATGACAATCTCTCCAGATTGCTGGGCGAGAAGTCCAACGACATCGTCTCGCAGGAGCTCTGCAAAGGACCAGCCCAAAGGACCAATCGGCCAATCAAAATCCTCACCTGCTAGTTTTGCTTCTCGCTGACGGCGAAACTCGTGCACTGCAAACTGTGGAGTGTTGAGTGTCGGGTGCATCTCCTCACCATCTTGAAAATACCTCCCATCATATCCGACCACCCAGCTCAGAGGCCAATCTCGTGCCCTTGCATTCAGTGCAGACACCCCACGCTGCGGGGGTAATCGCGTGAAGCCGATGGCAAGGCCTACGGCCATGTCGGTGCCTGATAGCATGGCATGCGGCCAAACCTTCCGAAGCTGCACCTCGAAATAGACACCTTCAGGCAACTGAAGAGCATAGATGGCTCCTTGCACTGCTGGAGATGCTGGTGCGACTTTGCTGACGCCCAGAACATCTTTTTGCTCGCGCTCCAGCCATAAATTTCCAACTGGCACCTGACAAAGTCGAAGCAAAGGTTGCTCTGCACTGCTTTGCTGAGCTTTGGTAGCAAAGCCACACCATCGTGCCGGGGACATGTACCAAGCTGGACCAACACCTGACAAAAATGCAAATGGAGCGATTGGGCCCCAGACCTCCATTCCATCCCATGGATGTGGAGGTGGAACCGGCACGTCTGCCGTTGCAGATGCATGGTCGAAGTCCAGCCGGGTCGAGCTCTCAGAACTGAGGCCATTCGGTCGGAAAAACTGTCTGGCATCTGCAGTTAGAACTGCCAAGTTGGAGAGTTTTGCCAATCCAAAGTCCAGGATCTTCACCACCACCCCTGAAGGCTGAGCAACCTCCCAAATTACGGATGGTTTCAGATCCAGGTGCGTCACGCCGCGCGTGTGACAGGCCTCAATGCCGTGAAGCATTGCATCGCAAATGTCTGCCGCTGCATGTGCCGGAAGAGGCTCCTCGAAACCTGAGATTTGAAATCAACCCGCCCAAGCTCAAGACTCGAGCGCTTAATGGGAACGCCTTGCTTGTTAAGTCTATGCCGTCTATGCCCTACTCATTGCAAAGATACGGAGCCCTTTCAGGGAGTCCCTGAGCTCCTGTCCATCGACAACTTACCTGGACCCTTCTCGGGGCACTCCAGAAATAGAAATAGATGTTCACCGGCCGCTTGCTGAGGCCCAGGCCAGAACGAATTCGGAGGAGGTGTTGGGAAAGCAGACGGCCATGCAAAAGCTCCATCACACAGTAAGCCAAGCATGCGGTGAGCCCTGGAAAATGTATCACATCTTGAACCTCTGCAACATCCGAAAGCGCAGTGTACACGCAACACTCACGCAAAAAACTGGTGCGGGTGCTTGGCCCATCAACAATTGGCATCTTCAAGGTCACCTCGCGCTTCTTGAAGGCATCTGTGCATGCTAGAACAATGGAATCCGACTCCACTGTCGACACCTCCTTCACAATGAAGCGACCTGCAATAGAAACACCCCTCACAGCAGAGGCGAAACAATCGACATCTCGCTTCTGTGCGAATTGTTGCAATGCTTCCTTGATCGCACTTTCTGCTTCATCTGATCTGACTTCCCCAACGTCAAGACCACTGGAGCTTTGCGTGAACTTCAGGCGCGTTGATGTCTCTGCAAGGACTATTTCTTGGCGGTTGACACTCTGGCTATCATCTTCAGCTGATTCGCCCTGACCTCGACTCGCCTCAAACTGCCTTGCCTGCACTCTGAACTCCTCCCTTTGGCTCATCAATACCTGCAGCCGTATCTTCTCCTGCTTTGCAATGTCAAGCTCCTCTTGCAACTCCTGTATCTCTGATGCGCAAGCTGCCCTGCCTTCCTCGTAACCCGCCTGCCAGGCTTCAGATATCTGCACGGAATCTGTTTTCCCAGCTTCCATTTGCGTGTGCTTGTTGCCAGCCGTAAGAAGTTTATTCTGTGCTGTGAGGCGGGCATGCGCTGCCTCCAGGTCCCGAACTTGGTCCAGCAAGCCCCTTCTCATGTGGATGTCATCCCTGCTTTCTTGTCGTTGTCGGTACTGCAACTCCGACTCCAACACCAGCAGTCGGTTTACGGCGCGCTGAAACTCTTGCAGGAGCTCTTCATGCACTGCTGAGCTGACCGTGTGGTTTCTGCCGGCTTGCCTGCGTGCCTGAAAGGACTCACGGAAGTATTGAAGGCGGTCGGTCATGTCATTCGACATTTTGTCCGCCTCACCTTTTCTCGTCAGCGTATTCGATCTTGAGATATCTTCATCTGGTTGTTGGACAAAGCGTTCCAGCACAGACAAAAAAACTGACTTCGGAATGCGCCCACTCCGATGCACATCGAGAACAGCAAAAATCTTCTCGAAGTCGAAGGCGCTGCTGAAACCAAGGGCCTGCAAGGCGGTGCAAAATTCCTCGTACAGCAAACAAGGATTCAGGTTGTCAAAGGCTTGCTCCAATCCTCCGCAAAGTTGTGCCAGCTGCACTGCAAGGCGCGAAGTGTCTTCAAGCGGCAGTCGGGAGCGATCTGCTCCCATTTGTACTGGCCCCAGTGTGGGCCTGCAAATGGTCTCGACAAGGTGGGCAACGGTGATGGTGCCTGCTCCAGTTGGGCAGCTTGCACACAAAAAGCCAAACACACGGTCAATGTGACTGTCGCAGAGGTTGGGCTGAAATTGCCGCAGAAAAATACGCAAGTCTTCTCGACTGACCGCCCCAGAAGAACCCAGCGACTTCAGCATGCCTTTCAAATGCTTGCCATGCTTCTGGATGGCGGACGACACCGCCTTGAACAGCTTGTGAACCCAGTCTTCACTCACAAAAGCTGAAGAGGCACAAAGTTCCATAGCATCATTCAAATCCCGCAGGTTCACTTCCCCAGACGGCGAGATGAATCGCACAGTCGCCTCATAGATCTCCGCGCGCGACAAGCTGGGTGCCAATGGGCTTATGGCATCAACCAGCCTGTGGCGAGACACTTGACAATTCAGATATCGGTCGTTGAGTTTCAGGACTGAGACAAAGCCGCCATTCTTCACCACAGCTTTTCTGATTCGCACCATGACGTGCTCGAAATATTCCTCGCCCATCTTTCCATCTACGTCAAAGCCAAACAGCCGCAAGAACTCAAGAAGGTTCAGCATGCCAGAGCCATCCGTGTCAGCAAAAAAGAACAATCGAGTGAGGCGCTCCTCAGACATTGATGGAATGAATTGACGGATGAGGTTGCGGAAGGCTGCTTCATCGATTCGTGCATGTGCATCCGTGTACTTGCGAAATATCTCATAAAGCGTCATGCCAGATGACTTTGCCTGCACCGTTAAGAGGCTGAAGACATAGCCTGCCCACTTAGCATCCAAGTCTCGCACTTGCTCAACATTCAGGCCAGCTTTCTCAAGCCGCGCCAAAGGAATGCAGCAAGACTGACGGCACAGAAGCACATTTGACGTGGCATTCGAGCTTGACTCTTTGACAGGAAGCTGCTTCTCCATCCTTCGAAGTCGCTCGTGTAACCTGGACATGTCAATGCCTCTACCGTCGAAACGGCATTTGAGTTCCTTGTGTGCTTCCTTCAGTTCCCTGTGCTGTGCCCTGAGCTGGTCAAGTTCAGCTGCTTGCAATTGCGCCCTGCCATTGGAGTGCTCACTCCCAAGAGCCGCAGTCGGTGCAGAAGCTGAAGCTGAAGCAGCTGAAGCAGGTCTTGCCATTGCTCTGGTATCTGCGGTATCTGGAGATCTTTCTCTTGCCGTGTTGGACTCTGCTCGCCTGGCTCGCCGATAAATTTGAGCTGCTGGCAACTTCACAGGCTTCATCTTTGGCTTTGCTTGCCGAGCGCATCCGTCCACCCACGGCTCAGCTTTTGCAGCTGCGGCCGCCTCTTCTCCGCCAACCAGAGATGTCAGGTCTCGATCTCTGAGCGAATACATGGCAAGATGCTTGATGTCTACTCACTGCATGCATCCAATTCATTAGCCAGCGCTGGCGCTACCCCTCTAAGGTGACTTTGGCTTTGACCGTCCAAACTAAATGCTTTCGCTTCCACTACATACGTTGGACAAACATGCAAGTTGCTATGCAATTATGAACATCTCTTGCTGAAATGAGCCGGCTGCGGCAGCACCCAATGCGGCTTCGGCAATCACGCTTGGCCAAGTCATGTGCAGCATGGCTACCTGCAGTGTCACGGAGAGATCGAGCGCCTTTGTGGTGGGTTCGGTCCTGTACCCATCACCAGGGGCCGCATCATCCTCGGTCGGGCACCCTTCCCACCATTCAGGAACTCATGGCAAGCCCCTCAGAAGCGTGAGCCACCCGAAAGAAATGAGCTGCTTAAAGGATCCCCGAGGAAGCGCCTGCGTGCGGGATCCATTTGACTGCTCACAATGCACATTTGCACCGAATTGCGACTCAGGCTTGGGACCAGGCTGAGCTCACCGCATGCAAGTGGTGCCTCATGAGCAAGTTTGCAAGAAAGGGTCACACATCCAGCATCGGGACTGTGCAACCACCGTGTGTGACTTCCTGAATAATAATGATAAGACTGATAAGACCACAAACATGTGCACTGAAAGTACTGAACAACATCACAAACCACCACTCTGAGGCCAGGACGTTTGCCCGTCGGAGGCGCCGACATAAACGCGTTCATCTGGATTCCAAGCTTCGGAATCCCAATAGGCACTGCTACCTGACCGTGTGATGTTCATTTCGAATACCTGCGGGCGTCGACAAATAGGCAAGCCATGCAAGCCTGCAAAATGGCATGTTTAAGTTGATGAACCATGCAAACAAATCGGCAAGCACAACTCCAGATTGGCTAAGCAATGCCAGCAACAAACCAATCTGCTGCGACCCTGGAACACCACGAATTTTGGAAGCGTCCATGATGTCCGCGCAATCCAATGTGAGACACCCTAACGCTTGGCATTGATCGGGCTGGCTTTCACCAGTCAAGCCCATGCTCGGGATGCGATGAAGCTGGCAATGTTGAAACTTCAACCCACTCAAACCAGCAAGAATTGATATCCGTTTACATGTTTGTGTGTGTGCCTTGTTGTTGTGCATGGAAATCATACACTCCTGCTGGGCATGCGTTGCTGCAAAGCTCAGGAACTGAAACAAAGCAGCAGCCCCCTCAGTATGGCTGAGGCCGCCTTAGATTTGTCATGTGCAGCTGCCACAAGCGTACATCCGAGAGTTGGCAAACGAGCGCATGAAACCCCGCTTCGCCTCCCTTTTCCCTTTCCCTTTCCCTTTTGAGCAAGAAGACTGTGCAAACCAGCTGGTCATAGTCATAGCTTTGACTGCTTCCATGATCAGCTTATGTTCAAAAGCCGCCACGGTTGACGGCAAGTAAGGCAGCAGCTCTGAGGTGCTGTCATCTTTGATGGGTCCGCATGCTGAGCTGGCGCCTTCGTTGTCCTCGATATGGCGGGATTGCTGAACCCGATGCTGCAACACAGTGACACGCAGGAACGTCACCAACCTTCAACCTATCTGGGCAGATTCTTTGGAGAGGCCTGCTTGACAGCTGTCCTCGCTAGTTCCGGCAGCAGTGCCGTCTGCAGCATCGCCACAGCCAGGAGAGCAGCCGCAGCCTGGGCAGCCTTGACATCCGCCACAGCCGCAACATCCCGGGCAACCGCCACAACCGCAGGCACCAGGACATCCTGGGCAACCCTTGCCCATGCCCATCATCATCATAGGATTCATCATGCCGCCGCCACAGCCGCAGCCGCCACAGCCACAGCCGCCACAGCCACCACAACCACAGCCCCCACAGCCGCCACAGCCGCCACACCCACCGCCGCACATCCCTGGCATGCCACCCATCATCTGCATCATGCCCATCATTTGCATCATGGCCTAAGCTCAGCCAGGATAAAGGACCAAGCAAGCGAATGATATGATGTGCGACGACTAAGACACAAGCTCCCATGGCAGCCATGGGATTGGCCTGGACCAAGGCATGAGTGGAAGTCTTGCTGTGCTCCAGGTCTGAATCCAACACCAGCATGGGCTGAACCGTACCAGCCTGAGAGTCGCTAGACTTGTCATCAGAGCTGGCGCCCATGTTCGCTGCCGCCTCTTCCAGGATGAAAACAAGACAATCTATCTGAGCACTCAAAACTATACGTGGAATGTGCACCAAGTGCTTGTGCAAGACGTTCCTGCAAATAGTTCTCAGACCACTTTTCATCGTAATCTTCAGCAGAATCGACTCTAGAGTCGTCCTGGCAAAGCAGTTTGATGCTTGTAAACACTTGAACTAACTCTCACGCGCGCGCGCACACACACACACACACCAACACCAACACCAACACCAACAACAACACGACACACCACGAACACACACAAGCACAAGCACAAGCACACGCAATGCGCGCCTTCTTCTGCCTTTGCCTTGCTAAGTCAGCTGCCTCCTGTCGCGGTGCGTGCGTGAATTTGCCTGTGATCGCACAGCCAATTTTGCAGCGCGTAGCTCCTTTGCTCTTTCTCTGTTTTTGTCTTCGGTGAAGGCGGTTCCACCATGCGGCTTTACCGCCACCCATTTATTGTCAATCCTGAGCCGAACCAAAGCATGTCGCGGTCGGCATGCAACATATGGCTTCTGGCCAAGCCCCTCATTATCAAGATTTTCCGGGGCGCAGTTTTCACTTGTTTCGGCAAGCAGCATATGGCTGGACTGTGCTTCTAGGACCTTTGGGATAGACTCCACCTGGCACAAGCAACTTCAAGCAACACCCCGTCAATTGGGCCATGATCCAACGCGCCTCCACAAATTTCACGAACGCAAATCCTCTTGACGTGCCGTCTGGCAATCGCTTGATGTCAACCTCAACAACAAAAAATTAAGCATGCAACAAACATTTGCACATATTTGCACCCATCCCGGGGCTCACACACTGTCCACCTGTCCGAATTTGGAAAAATGGCCAGCGACCTTGTCCTGCAGCTTGGGTTGCAGGTGGACAAGTGTGCAGTGCCGTGAAATGCCGTGAAAGGCAAACAAAAACGATGTTCTGCAAGCCACGCTTTCCTCCGTAGTGCTTTTCCGAAGGCCGCCTACAAAAACAATGTTGCTTTTGTCGTCAGCCTTTCTCGGCTTGCCAGCCTTAGCTTGCAAGAAACTGCCACTCGCGGCCCACGTTCTTTTTGTAAACATCTGCTCAAATGCAGTCCATGCATTCGGCAATCTCATGGCCAACGTGCAAAATGCATTTCATCAGCCTTGCAATTTTGGACAAGAACAACAACACCTTCCGTGACTATCATCAAGGTGCCATTCCCTTCTTGTCGGTGGAGGGCATCCTGTCAGCGACGCCCGCATGAGAAAGGATCAAAGCAAATGACAATCCGAGGCTTTGGCTGTTGCATCATCATTTGCTGCATCATCTGTTGTTGCTGCTGCATAGGATTCATCATCCCCTCCGCCTGTGCAAGTTTCGTTGAGCAAACATTTGACAATGGCGACATTGCGCTTGTATGGCAAGCCCAACTGACAGCGACACCATTTGCCCAGACGCAACATTGTGTGATAGAACAAACTGGCAAGCGGCCAGCCTTGGCAGCTGATCGTGGCTGACAAGCGGAGGGGCCGCGATAACTCGGCCAGACTGATTAATGTCTGAGTCTATCACGCAAAAATGGCTGGAACAACTAAGCTTTTGAGCCCAAACATACGCGGAATAAATGCTATGCGGTTCCTAAGCCCAGTAGTGATTGCTTACACAAAGCCCTGGCAGCACAAGAAACATCATTTGCTGCGGAGTACAAACTGCAAAATCCCTATCCAAACTGCAGCCAGCGCCGACCCTGCAAACACACTGCGAGTTGGTCCCCTATCGCCCCCGCATGTCTAAAACCAATCTGTTCCGCTTCCAGCGCTGACGCGAACTGCATTTATCAACCGGCAATGGATTGCCATCTTTTTGAAGCGGAAACAGCTACGAAAAGAGTTGGCCGCTCTAGCTGGAAAAAAACGCAAAAGAAAACGCAGAAGGGCGGCTGCAAGCCAACAATTTGCGACTGAATGACTTGTATAGTGCTCGTGCCATCAAAAAGACTGGGACACATGCAGTTTCTATGGCCGAGATAACACTCCCGCTATGGCATTCACACCTACGAGTACAAGCGCATGGCCTCAAAATTTGTTTGGCCTGGAATTGGAAACATGGACAGCCAAGGATTGCTAACGTCTGTCGATAACGTTGGGGCACATTGTCAAAACATGAAAACCGCCTGCAAGCATCCTTTTTTGCGTTCGAGGCGCGGGCTACAACGGCGGAGCACGTCACGCTCTGCCGCAACTCTAAGTCTAAAGCACTGCGCTGGGCAGCTGCAGTCGACGAGGCAAGCGAACCAATCGACACAACGACCCCGACCAACACGCTGGTTTTGCCGTGCCTGACACCCACAAACAAAATCAAATAGAACTGAAACGAAGACCGTTTTTAGACAAACAAACTCCGTCGCTGAAGGGCGCCCGGCAAATCAACCTGCTCGCACGGGTGGGCTTTCAAGTTCGAGGCAGTGACAAAAGCTGCCGAGTCAGCCACACTTCCTGTGTGAAGGCAGGGACATGGCAGTGTGGTGACCAGCCCATCAAAAATCCACGAGCGTGTGGACAGGCAAAACAAACCCGGCTGCGCGGAGCGAAGGCAACCTTGAGAATTTCCAAAACAGACGGGAAGCGAGACAGGCAACGGAGGAAAATTCCGGATGGGTTGACCAGTAGTTTACGGCACTCTGAAACTTCCACCAACAAGACGGAGTGGCAGCCATTTGCCCAGGAAGCCCAGTAAGCGGCGGGGGCTGAAGTAGGCAGAGTTGTCATTTAGGATCGCTCAAACGGTTCACCTAGGGGTCACGGTCACTTGGGGATACACTTAGGGAGGGATCCGGGCAAGTTGCAACACTTGCACAAACCGGTCTGACGCCTCCTCATCGTCCAGCAAGAGACGGGCGACCTTGCAGTTAGGCCCGAAGGTCCTGGCGCTGCACCCTTTCTAGCACGCCGTAAGTTAGCAAGGACAACTTCAGGCAGGAGGTGCGCGGGCTCGTCCGGTTGGAACTCGAGGACGGCCGGGTCAAGCTCCTGGTACGGTTGTGTCGGGCGCCGGGCCGGACCCCGCAGCTCCGCCAAGGGCCTGCCGCGCAGCCGACAGCTCACCAAGGTGGACGAGGTGCCGTGCCCTTTGTGCTGAGCGGGCTGGGTTGTCGCCGCCGGAAAGGTTGCCTGCACCGTTGGAGTTGCTTGGCGTAGCAGCGTTTCCCACCTGCCCGCGTGGGATGCTCCCTGTGCAACAACATCCTGGGCAGCAAGAACCACAGTTTCCAAGCACGCATGGCTGCGGCCCCGTTGGCAGCAGCCTCAAGCACAGCTGACAGCGCAGTGGTCAAGCACTGGCGGACAGGCCCACGAGCAAACGGCGGGACGAACTGGAACGTACAGGCTTTGCGACAGAGTCGAGCGCCTGCAAGGCAAGTTGGAACTGCCGATGTGCTTGGCTGGGGGGCTGGCTGCCTGCTGTGTGGTCAGGTTGGTTAAGGGCACCCGCACGTGCAGTTGGCGCGCTGGCATCATTTGGCTATGGCTGGCACGGGCGCTGTGGCCGGCGCGGCCGTCCTCCGCCGCTGTGTGAACTACTGCTACGGGGGCCGCGCTGGTCTCTGCCCCCATTCCGGACGGCCCCACTAGGGCGTGCGTTGCGTGCG